TTTATTGTTTTTTATTATAATAAAAATTTGTAATCACTTTGAAGAAGTCTAAAATGTATCAAAAATAACTTGACATTACTGTTCTAAAAAAGATTTTGCAAACCTATTCAAAGTAGTTTAAATAGTCTAGTTTATAGAAAATTAAACTGACTATCAAAAATGTCACTTATGACTTTGAAAAATGATTAAATCTATATTGGATAAATTGTATCATCTTTTTAATGTATAGATAATGTTTTAAGAAATTGAATATAGATAAGATAGTTAAGAATTTAACTGTAATTTTTATATTCTATATTGTATAAAATCTTTTTGGTTCACTCAAATATGTGTTAATTTAGTAATGTACTTGTAAATAAGCTGAGTAATATATGTTTTACTAATCAAATTTGTAATTTTCATTAAGAAATCGACTGGTGACGGATGAAACGTACTAAACATGTAAATATTTTTAGGAAACATGATTTAGTGGAAAACAACAAAAAAGAAATCTCGAATAGACCAATATATGTACTTATACGGACCCGTTCTTTAGTTATACGAAGTATTTTTATCGAAGAAAAGTTTCTACTTATCTCTTCTTAGACGACGTACTCTAAACACTTTGATAAAGAAGAAAAGCTTTTCTGCACCTCATTATAATAGCTTGTAAAAGAAAAGATTTAGTGGATTATTTTAGATATTTAAAAAAATATTGTTCTATTTGAATGAGTAGAGGGGGAAGAATGTATATGTGGTTTTATAGGAAAAAAAATAAGTAGAAAAGGAAGAACAAAGAAAAAAAATATATAGAAACGAGTTACTTTTTTCTCTCTCTCTCTCTCTCTGTCTCTCCCTATATTTACTCATTTTGAAGATATTAATACACTAGATCTGTTACGATGAATATGTAATATTGCGATACATAAAAGTTAATAGAAAACATAGCTAGATTAAGAGTGAGTGAAGATTAAATTAAATTAATAGTGTGTTGTAAGCTATAGTTAATCTTTTTGAATTATTATTGGTAGACACATTTATCCTATAACCCTTTTTTCTTCTTTTTTTTTTTAAAAAAAAAACAAAAAAAATGATTATTTTTTAAAGAAAATAGCTTCCGTTTTCACCTGTGTGTGTGTTTTCCTTTTGATTGTTTAAAAAGAGAAAAATAACCGTTTTTCTAATAAAAAAAATCTAACAAATTCATATCCGTTTGAGTTAAACAAATAAAAATGAATAAACGAAAGCCTATATATTATAAAGAAAAACGACTATATTTTATTGTTCTTCTTTTTTTTTTTTCGGGACAAATAAATTGCCGAGGATTTATGTTCCTCCTTGAGTTCAAACACATTTTCTATTGTCCTTGGTCTTATAACTAAGAGCACATTTGATTTTTTTTAATCAATCAAATATATTGTGTTACCTATTCTGATCTAGAATAATAAACAACAATTAAAAGCGAGAGAACAAAAAGAAAAAGAAACGCACCACCATTCGTATACGTAATATGAGGTGTATATTCTCGACATTTGTCATAGAGTAATAAGTTAAAAGATAGTTCAAATATATCTATGAATAGGAAAGATAAACAGTTTTAACACCTTTTTGAATTCATTATATGTGACGAATCGCTCATTTTCCATAATATTATTTATATTGTTCATTCAACCAAACTTACTGAGGTTAGGTTAACTGACATTTGATCTTGTTTCTTTTAGTATTCAAACTAATCTCAACATTTCGTAAAACAAAAAAAAAAATCTAAAAATAAACATTTATCTCTCGCTATTTGTCCATGTCAAAATCATGTCATTTTGACAATTTTTTTCTCATTTTTTTAAATACTTTCTCATACGATAGCTAATCCTACAATCAAACGAATATTTATGTAAGTCACTGAAAACATTATTCTATCTTGTTAGAAGACATAGAACAATCTATAAATTGATAAAAAAAAAAACTTTTTTTCTTTTTTTTTTCTTTATCTATATTAGAAGTCACTAGAGCATTCGAAAATTTTTTAAAAGTGTTATTTATTTCACTTAAATTGAAAACACTTAAATAAAGGAAAACACTAGACAATTTGGAAAATGTTTATTTACATTCACCCATTCATAATAAATTTTTACCACTCGAAAAAAGGAGAAAATTTATTCGATATATTGATGATAGTTTTGAAAAGTTATTAATAACTTGACAAACTACTTATTTTTAAGTATTTAATGAAACTAATTTTATAAATTATTTGAGACAATGTATAGTTTTTAGATAAACAGCTCTCATTTTACATTTTTGAATGTTAAAATAGGAAAAATTGTTCAAACCACCTACGTTGATTACCTTTTTTTACAATTATTATTTTTTTTTCTTTTCTTTTTCTTTAATCTATGATGATGATCCGTTGGCGTGATAACAAAATTTCTAATTTAAATCATTATATTTTTTCGGAAATATAGTTTATGCAACTATGCACAATCAAATTCTAATGTTTAGTTTTACTTCACTTTCTCATCTACTTTGGTATTTAATTATCAATTTTATAATGAATGTATAATACACCTGGAGAAGTGAGATTATTTGATGAGTTAAACAATACTTACTAAACCTAAAGCATCATTCATTGTTTCAATAGATTCACAATTAGTAGTCTATATATTTATTATGATTAATTCTAATATTTTTCTTTTATTCTATTTATCTTTGTACGAGTTTCACTTGTATATTTATATTTAGAAGTGAATGATTGCATAAAATCGACCTGAAAGTTTTTTATTATTATCTTTTAAATCGTCTATTATTTTAGCTATATGAGATTTTTTTTCTTTTGTTTTTCTATGTTATGTGTACTTGAACCTGATAGTTTCTTTTTTTTAAAAAATATTCTCGTGCATCAGACAAATTCACAAAAAAAGATGAAAGCACTTAAAATTGATGTAGCTGAATAAAAAATTTAAAATTGAACTTCTCTTTTTTGTTTTTTGTTTAATAAATCTTCATTAATTTTATTTTTTTTATACTGTTGACATTTTTGTTCATACGGATGTAACAATGTCACAGTGATGTCTTGTAAAATTTTCATTCAGTATAGACAATCTAATTTTATGAACATTTAAACATTTTTATTAACTCTAAAATAAGTAAACTAATGTGTTTTTCAATGACTTATTATAATTCTTTAGAAATAAATGTTATAATATTTATTGAATGAACTAGGTATCTTTTTGATTTTGACATTAAATCATATTCATCGAACAATCTTCGTCAATTATTGAAGAGGAAACATTTCTCATGTAACATTTATGACTAATTTGAACCAATAGAATATCTTTCATTTGTATATGATATATGTTACTAATTATATTAGACTGTCATTCATTAACATTATCGTTCCTACTTGTTTTAAATTTTAATATATATATGTATATACATATTACTGTCATTGTAAGTTATTGAAATAATTAATTCGAACAAAGACCAACAGCTATGTGGCTGTCTTATGTGATTATAACTGGAGAATATATCAGTGAGATATTAGCAAAAAATTGTAATTATTGTCTTAAATCATTAGAAATTTTATTATTATCATTTATAACAGAATGTTAAGTTAGTTTTTTGTAAATCTAAAAATTGTAACAAAAAATATTATTTGCAATAGACCATCTGTTCAAATCAAATAGATTATCATTAGTCTTGTCAAAAAAATTGATAAGAGTACATAATGAAAAAATAAACAAAAAAAAAATATCAACAAAAATATGGCCGTTGTCCGTTATCGAAAATAAATATATGAATCTATCATCATAGACAAAGATAAACATGTCGTGTTGATAACAATTAATTGTTTTATAAACAATATGATAGTGCCTATAACTAGTGTTGAAATTTTTTCATACATCATGTAAAGAAACTATTAGAGAGAGTTTCTAGTAACTAGTTTAGAAGACTAGTTAATCTTAGACTAATAAAAGTGATAGGTGAGTGCCATTGTAGTTTGTTATCAGAAAAAAAAATATTTTCAGTTTTTCTTCTGAACTATATAGGTAAAACTATTTATCATTATTTTTTATTGAACATAAAAATTGTGGTCATCATTGTCTTCTTAAATAAACTTTGAGAACAATTTGAAATTATTTTATCAGTTACTATTTATCACTGTCAACAATGATGTTGTTAGAACACACCATTAACGCAATTCTATTGTCTTTTCTTCATCTTCATTATCGTCATCCTTTTTCTTCTCTTATATAAAAAAAAAGGATCATAGATTAATGTAATAAATCAGCAAAAATGTTAGTGTAAATGGTTTTTTTGACATTCAAATCCATTTATCTTCTGTTTTCTTTTTAATGAACATTGAAAAAACAATTATCACAAATGTATACTTGCACTCAGTATATCCCTCTTACTACTCATTTTTTTCCTAATTTACGTCTGTAAATAAAAGTTGTAAGTAAAATTATAAACGGATATCATGCCCTCTGAAAATAACTGATAAATTATGCGCTTGATAGATTTCTCTCTCTCTATATATACAATGAGAGAGAGAAGAAGAAAGAGTGAAATAAAAGCTTGAGGAAAGAAGTCAAACGATTATCGTCGGTGCAATGTAGGATGTTGTGATTAAAAGTGAACAAACTTATCCATTTTCATCATTTTTTTAGATTTTATTCTTCTATTTTGTAATATGTGCGGCGATAAATATTATTTTTAATAAATACTAATGATATTCAAATATACTACTATTTCGCGTTTCGAAATCATTACTTATTTAATTGAAAATTTATACACCGAGTACTTTGCAATAAATTCTTAATGGCATATAGTCACACATCACAAAAACAACAATAACAAGACGGTAATAATAATTGAAAATTATCTTGGTTATTTTTTTGTTCTTCTCTCCTTCTTTCTTTCTCCTACTATTATTTTTGGTCTTTTTTTACATGAGTCGGCTTTTCTCACGCATGATTGTCTCAAAATGAGACATGATATATGGCTAAATAGAAATCAATCAGGACATGCTCAGAGGACAATTTGAAACCTCAATTGCATCGACAACAATAATAACAACAACAACGATAACAACAAATATTATCATTCATATTAAATTTAAAAATACGAATAATAAAGAAAAGCAAAAAAAAATATTCTCATTTTTTATTTCAAATGTTCAAAAATCTACTATTGTCGTCATCATCGTATATTTATATAATAATAATTTTCTATTATTACCATCATCACCAAATATTATCATTAACATCATGCAACAGGCAAATGATACTTTATCACTGATATTACCAATACCAACCGATATTAATGAACTTTATATACTTAATGATACATTTACATCACCATCAATATCTACAATAATTAATAAAAATTCATCAAGTTATTGGGCATTTTCATTAATTATATTTCCAATTTTAACAATATTTGGAAATATACTCGTTGTTATTAGTGTTTATAGAGAAAAATCACTTCATACTATTACAAATTATTTTGTTGTTAGTTTGGCTATTGCCGATATTACCGTTGCATCAATTGTTATGCCATTTGCCATTTATCTAGAGGTAAAAAGATTTTAATTAACTTCATTTTCTTTTTACTATACGGGGTTTCACACATCCATTTACGAATAGTATTAAAAATTCATCTGCTATCATTCATTACTTTTAAACTAGTCAGAAATATAAGTAACGTAGAAAGAGATCGTCGTTAGTATACGGCTTTTTTTGTAGCTTTATGTATGAGAAGCAGCTGGTAAAACTTGTTGGACTATAAATAGTAATTGATAAGGGAATGTAAAAAACAGATAACAAGCTCCAGAATGACATTTTTTTCTTCTTATTTTATTCAATAATTCAAGGAAAATTTGCTTTATTTAGCACAAAAGAATACAAAATTGCAAGTCTACCATAGAATATACCTTTATACATTTTTTAAAATTATATCTCATTAAGTTCTATATGATGAATGAAAGAAATATAATATGAGATAAAAAAAATATTCGATTCGATGTGTAAGAGTGACCTTAAACTAAATAATTCACTGACTAATATTGAGTTTTGGCGATGCTAATTATTTGTCAGAATTTGAATCTATGCGAATATATAGTTGGATACATAACTATCTCTTCCTGTTTTGTCTGTGACTTTGTGCATGTTTTGTTTTCGGAAACCATCATTAACTGTCAATTTTTATCTATTTTATTGAACTGCTGATTCTTAACAATCAAAAAAGATTAACACAACGAGCCTATACGGCATATAGACAGAATGATTGGCATAAAATAAAACAGATTTTATAATCTTTGTCCTAAGGCAATAACGATAAATTTTCTTTGAGAAAAAAATTTTGCTTAATAACAACAAGTACCGCTGTTATATTTATTTTAATAACGGATGAGCTTTTTGTCGTTTTCTCAAAATACATATGCACGCACATGTATTTTGATATGATAAAAAAACGCAGTTATATTGATTTTTATTGAATAAACATGCTGCCAAAGCTGTTAGCTACGTGACATCACAAAAACTCACATATTTCCAATTGTAATGAAAAATGTGTACACGAAACAAAGCAAAAACGGATATCCGAATGAATCTGTTATATTGAGACAAGAAAAAGACTCAAGACAACGTAAAGATGTCGCGTAACAAAACCCAACTACTAAAGTTGTTTATTCTATGAATAGTTAGTGAAAACAAAAAAAATTTTGTTCCGAAACTTCATGATGTAGATATAGTAATTGAATTAAAATACTACTTGACATCTACTTCTTTCCTTCATCCACACTTGTCTGGATTCTGTTGAAACACTATAAACATCTGGAGAGTAGTGGGAGATTAAGGATGCATAAACTATCTACTATAGAACGTATTTCAAGATATTTTCAGATGTTTACCGACTGGAGAGAGTGATATTTCTATTCAGTTTCATACAATCCGTAATATACTAATATGCTGTCAATTCTTAGCGTATGAAGCTTATAATCATATAGAAGATAAACCTAGAAAGTTTTAAAACAACGTGTGGAACATGATTTTCTGAAGGTTAAAAGTCATACTTAGGCACCTTCTTTGATAACGGACAGTTTTGATGTGAAACGAAATGCTGTAAATAGATATATTATTAGATTACGCTTGATACAAAGATCAACGAATTAAGTCAATATCTATTACAGATTTCGGATGATGGCTTATTGTTTGAAGGTTAGCTTTTTTTAGAAAAGTAACGAATTTTTTATTTACAATGGACGTAAATTAATTATTTCTGATTATATTTTACTAAGCAAACAAAATTGAAAAATTTGAACTTGAAACAGCTTCTGAGAAAATTCTTTTGGTAGATCATATAATAATCAGCTTAAAGACAATGACCCCTTTTGTCAATGTATTCCAGCACCACTTTCTAACTACAAGAAGGGACTGAGGAGAAGTTATAATAACTTTGCATAGAAAAATGTGGGATTGTAGCGGAGATTTTCATGAAATTTTGTTAGTGTCTGGTTGTACTCGAGTCCGAAATAACTGCAGTCGTAACTGTTTTTTCCTCTCTGAGATATGCGACAATTAGAATCGAACAATTTTTTTTTCATTAGTTTGAATTTCTCTATGTATATGAAATCCGATAGAATAAAAAGATACCGATTCAAAACTTACAAAATAAAATGATTATCGTTGGAGTTTAAGATTGATTGAAAGTATAGTTAGAATAGAATTTCTTTCACTTATTTCGTCATTCATTTCAAAGAGTACTTTAACAAATTGGCAGAAATACAAAATCAGTTTCAATGGTAATTTTCTGGAGTCACAACAAAGTCTATCTTTATCATTGTTCATATGCCTTGTAGGATTGCTCTCACCCTTTTAATCAAGATAAGCTTGAAAATAAGTCGCTAACTTCTATATGAGGGACATTGGCAGTAATGATTCAGTGTTAACTTAATCTCTCTTGACCCACTATTTTCATCGGACATAAATGACATTGGTGTGAAACAGCAGCCAATCACAAACAGACGATTAATTGTTTGTTTGTTTATGTTAAAATAAGTTAAGCGCAAAACTCTACAAACAACTAAAAATATATCGGTTGCCTTCCGAGTAATCATGTGTGATCAAATGGAAAATATGCACTTTTTTGTTCGTCAATAATAGAAATTCATTAGATAGACAAAAACAAAAATCGAGTGTCATGTCCTTCGAGAAAACTACAAATACCAAGATATTCAATATCAGGCTGCTTTCTATAGTGAAAAACATTGATTATCTCATAGCTTCCCGGAAAAACATTTGAATCTAATTTGTTTTTTTGTTCAGTTAGTCAATTTATATTGTTGAAAAACAAAAAAGTGTATGAAATAAGCACATCTTTTCCATTTGATCACATACCATAAAACAAAATATTTTGAAAAGTGTCTGTCGTATCGGCTGTATATGTAGAAAAAAAAGAGCTAGGGTGTATGAAACAATTCGTGCACACAGTAGGAAACCAGTTCACTATAACGAAGGCTATAAAAAAGAGTAATCAAACATAGAAAGGAGGTATTGTGTTGAATAATTGTACTATACATTTGATTTTCATAAAAACGGCGTATCTCTTTTGATAATGAAATATTAATTATACTATACACATCCTCACACAATATAGAATAAGATATTTTCACTTAGAAAAACTAGTCAACTTTGCCTCAAGATTAATGGAGCATATATAATGAAGAAGAATTTAAAAAACATTTGATATATGTCCGTGTTCAAGGACAGTTTATACCTGTTAGATATGAGAACTAGTATTATGAACGATTCGAATAAAGTGTTCGTTTTTGTATCTGACCTTGAACGATAGATATTTACATATGAATACATTTAAGAATACGATCATCTATATTATTGAGTATCTGATTGCAAAGATTTTGTTTGTTTTATATATCATTTATTTTTAATTATTTCGTCATAAAATTTACCATAAATAATTTTCACATAAGTAGATTATATTGGAGCATCGAATGTAAAATTTCAGATAGTTAACTGTTAAGGTTTAGAATATTAACAAGGTCATCAAACTGCGAAAGCATTTTATCTAAAAGAACTTCATGATCATTAGGTATAATTATATCTTTTTGACGAAAAAAAAACCTCATCCATTACGCCACTATGATATGGTGTATTTCAAATAAATGATACTTAACAGTTTCACATGTTTTTAGTTCAATAAAGTATGGGAATTATCTGATCGATTATGTGATTTTTGGGTAGCATCCGATTGTATGGCCTGCACTGCTTCCATCTTGAATCTGGTACGTGAGCTCAGCTCACTTATTCTGTCCACGATGAGTTTAATTAGATTTTGACTTTGTATTTTTCTTTAGGTTGCAATTGCCGTAGACAGGTGCGATATTCTCTCAATGTTTAGCCTGAATCCTTACTTAATTTTTGTTTTTAGATACATTGCGGTAACTAAACCTCTTAAATATGCTCGTCATAAAAATCCCAGACGTGTTTCGATAATGATTGTTGTTGTGTGGCTTATTTCATTTTTCATTGCTTTACCAATAGTCAGGTACGACATCCCTATTTTACACTCCTAAAAGTTCAAATTCATAACTTCATGTGTATTAATTTTATTAGTGGTGTGAATAAATCCGATGTTGAACCTTTTTCACGATTTAAAGGCAATTGCTCATTTTTTAATAATAAATTTCTTATCTTTTCATCGTTGGGCTCATTTTTTATTCCATGCATTATCATATTTGCTATTTATTATCGAATATTTATGGTGATTATGGCACGAGCGCAAAAAAATCGTAAATATTTAAGACCAAAAGCGGCTATTGAATTAGCTGCAAAACAACATCGAACGACGGCAAATGATTTATTATTGCAATTATTTCGTGATCGTCGTCCTAAAGGTACTGCAACTGTAACAGAACCAATAGTTGTTAACAATACACTGGATGATAACACATATAAAACACCAATGCCACCGCTAGCAACGACTATACATAATGCTGATCATTTAACATTAAAACTAACCGCACCTGTTCTACCATCAATAGTTGCAGGCTCATTAAATATCACAAGTTCATCGGGTGATATTCCCGATGATGAACGAGATGATATTGCCTTATTTCTACATCATAACGGTTCATTTGATAATGATATTATTACCAAACCGTCCAGCTCTATTCAAGAACAACAACAAAAACATACGGCATCACAAACCGAACAAAATCACAATAATCGTCGATTAAAAACACGGCTGAAAAATAAAGATGAAATAATAACAACAACAGCAATAACATCAGTCTTAGAAATAACACCAACGAATAATGCTAGTAGTATAGTAAAAAACAATAAAGATATTGCTAAAGCGGCAAAACGAAAAGCACATTCACATCAGAAAAAAGAACGAAAAGCAACAAAAACATTAGTCATCGTTTTAAGTAAGTTATTTTTTCAAAATTTTCTTGAAATCAAAACATATAAGTTTCAAATATTAACTTATCACGTGAGTATGTGCACAAGAGATCATACAGTCTTCCTTGTGATGGAAGGAAGTTGTTGAAAAAATTGCAACCTGCACTAACTGAATAGAAGAAGGACATGACATTTGTTTCATTTCTAATGTCAAAAAAAAATGATCCGTAAATCGTTATGATAAATAGCTTTATTCTATTGACATCAAGCGTAAAGACCTCTGATTGTCAATTTTTATTTTTGTCATATAATTTCGTCTATATGCAATGCCCTTCTAGATATATCATCAGCATTTTTATTTTTCTTCTTTTTTAGTATGTTTTTTAGTCTGTTGGTTACCCTTTTTTGTGTTGAACAATTTGGTTAACGCAATTTGTCGAATATCGAAAAACGATTCTTGTATGATTAGTGATTTTATAATTACATTTTGTGCTTGGCTTGGATGGATCAATAGTACCCTAAATCCGATAATTTATACAATTTTTAATTTAGAATTTCGTAAAGCATTTGCAAAAATACTATTTTCTTCCTGTACTTGATATCAGAGATACATTTTTTTCTTTCTTGAAGTATGTTATTGTTTATCCGGTTTATAGTATTTCTTTTTTTTGTGTTGTTATGACATTTGTGTATATATATATAGATATAGATATATATATATATATTTGTTATGGAAAAGCATAAAAATTATCGAAAGTATGTATTCGCTAGGGGAAGTATGAAATATAGACGGCTCAAGAAAGGTACAAAACTCACTTTATTTTATATTTAGTAAACAAAATCAATAGAAAATAGAATAAAAGATATGCAATAACTATCATTTATCAATTTTGAAATTTATTATATTTCTGAATAACTTTTCGTCAACTTTTTCTTTTTCTTATTAATCTAGCTTTCCAAAAACTCATCCTTACTATCGTAAGTCAACTACCAGTAAGAATATCTTGAAGAAAGACATTAGAACTCTAATCGTATCTAAAAAATAACGCTATTTTGAGTTATTATCATTCGTTTGAGTTTCGAAAATAAATTTCCGAAATCAACCATTTGAATGGATTCGCGAACATACCCTGGCTTACTCTCATCTTTTACAAGGCTTTCGATACTTTTTTGATAGAGAAAGACTTTCTTTATAACCTATTGATTCGAAGTATTTTGTTTTTATATGACAGACGCTTAAGAGTCGATTGTGACGCAATTGTGGCTCTTTTTGAATGCTCAGTTCTTCTAAGCTGTCTTTGGTCTATTTGATTTAATTTTAATGTTGTTATATCATCTTGAAATTGAACGATAGTTAAAAATGATGTGCTAGTAACGATGGTATAGATGAAAACGTTCTTTGACTTAAAAACTGTGGTACTGACTAAAAGTAAGTGTTCTGCACCCAACGCCGTTCTTAAAAACATGAACGCCTCGATTATTTAAAGTCAGAGTAACACCAATAGCTATGCTCCTAACACTTGTAACCGCAAAAATGTATTTCACGTCCAAATTATATTTATTGGTAAAATTTTCAAAGCGATTAGAGTGAATTAATGAATGAGAAGTTTATCTATGATGAATTGTATTAGACGTGCCAAAGGTATATAGTAAAGTGCCTGTAATCTAATTTGAATGTAACTGATCGCTCTGAAATCTATACTGTAAATGTAATTCAATTTCTATTATATTTCTCTAATGTTGAAGTGCGAAAAAACTGTTAGAGGCAGGTAAACCTGCGCCGGTACTATGCTACTATGAATTTGAACAGAACGGTCAATATAGAAATAATCGTGAAAGAAAGCATCGTCATTGATACCATTGTTTTTGTTACACGGAAGGATCATCATCACAAATCACCAGGGATTATTATAAACAACATGCAACAAAATAATCTTCTTCCAAGAAAAAAAATGAGAGTCAACGATTTATGCGATGGTGATTATACACTAATAGAATCTAGATAAAAGAGGAAAAAGAATTGTGTCTGTGACTATTAGTGATTAAGAAACATCTCTTGTTCATTTTTATCTTTTTTACAGAAAATGCTCTTGTTTTCGTCATTAATGAATGTATACAATCTGTGCAAGACAAAACGAAGAGGCATATTCAGTAATTAATGTGTACTCTGTTCATTTTGTCTACAACCCAAGGTTAAATGTTTACCTGGCTAATAATAAATAATGCCAGTATACTTCTCTATACACATTCTCATTATGAATAAATATTTTCAGTCTCGCTTAATTGATTAACAATCTACTAATAGTATTCATAAAACTTTGTTCAGTAGACTATAATCCAATTGACCTTAGAACACACGAAAATGGTTAGCTGAATTAAACATAGTATATAAAACACGATTAGGAATTCTATTTTATTTAATGTTTCAATATGAAAGATAGTTAAAAAATTAATTTATTTATATGTAGAGTAAAAATAAAAACCAGCATTACATGAATCAAAGAGTCAAGTTATTTACCAAATGATTGATTGGAATTGTCGGTTATTGTTGATGGATAATAGCCCGAAAAATCTATTGGCGAAGATGTTGGATATCTGAAAGTTTGAGAATGTGATGTCAAATGTATAGATAAGAGTGTGCCATATTTTAAATGGCTTTTCGCTGTTTAGATAAACTAACGAGGAGACCTGGCTTTTTTAGTCAAATCTAGTGGGTTATAGGTTATCAACTATGCTGAATCCGAATATTATAGTGGTAGCTGCCCAGAGCCCTTTAGAAAGCGTTTGTCTAGAAAAGCAGTTTCGAGAAACTCTTAAAAAGTAACCATATCATTTCTTAATGAGGCATGATTGTAGCCCGCACATTTCTGATTAAAATGAGACCTCTTCCAGCTCTACACAACCTTTCTTTGCAAAGTTATAGAATTTACAAGAAAAGCCCTAAAT